CATGTTACATGATGGGTGCTCCCCTGGACAAAACCCTGCAGTTGGTTCATGAAAATCTTATCGATGCTCTTATTGTTACAATTCATACTGACAATTTAATTGCATATAACTCACAGAGAACAATTAAAAAATAAATTTTTCATTTAATTAGGATTGTTTTTGTTTTGGAAATTTTATTCTATTTTCATAATCAAGCACCATGGCCCCAAGGGGAAAAAATTTTTTTTCTAGTATGGCAGTCAATGTATTAAATTGGTTTTGTAATCTATAGGGTTATATCAATTGTGTTTAGCAATTTCTAGATCATAGGAGCTTTTTAATCCTCATCACTAGAGAGGAAGGTAGCATAGGGAATAGAATCATAGGAGAAGAGAATAAAAAAAAAGTTGAATGCAAATCATTCTATCAAATAATAAACACCCACATTATGTAATTTTTCAAGATTTTAACAAGATTTTAATTTTTTAATGCTTTAACTTTGTTAAAATAGTAATTAGTCCAGACATCCTTGAATCAAACTCAGATTCTGTTAATTTACTCAGGGGCTTTAAGCCTCAGGCACTTAACCAAGGAGACAGAGAAAAATAAGTTTCCCATATAAATGAGTTGGGGAAGTACGTAAACAGGCAGAGTGACATATTCTATGATGCATTAGTGTAACTTCACTGATTATTTCTCAAAGTTCAGTTACTTCTGTGTACCATCTGTCCATTTTTAGTTAATACTTGCCTCTTAGTCTATTTTAATTAATATTTATCCTTTGTTTCTTAGAAATTTAATATAAGCTAATTTTATATCATCATCAGTAAATAGATGTACCTAACATAATAGTCGATACACGGAGAACGAATGAGTGTTGACAACAAGACAATCCAGACTTAGCATAGACTTAGCATGTTGGAAGTAGGAACAACAATGAAGTAAGATGCAGAAAGACTTCACAAGAAAAATTCAGGCATAGGCAAGTTACAGCAAACAACTTCTAGATCCTCTGCTTTCATATATGCTCTTTCATGTATGTGTATCAACTCTGCTCCCCTCTCTACCTAAGGGAATACTTATTCTCCATTTCCAACCTATCTTTCTCCAATTTTTCCCGACTCTCTTTAAAAAGAAAAGCACACTTTCACCATCCTAACTTCTATACTGCATTCTTTGAGGGTGTCAGAACCTCCCAGGGTTAGAGACTTGGAATGTCAGTGTAAAGGCTTATAAAGTGAATGATGAATAACTAACAAATTCTGTGGCAAGTCAGGTGGTTTCCAAGTTTTGCTTTCAATAAAAGTAAAGGAGCCCCAATTCAGTTGTCAGCTGATAATTCATTTAAAATATTTTTGATGATAAGTCACTATAAGTGATTTGTGGATATAACTCAGGAATCAAAGAAGTGGGTGACATGATTATAACAAAATATATTTAATTCTCATCCACTTATTTTCATGAAGATTTTTCTCAGCTCTTATAAATACACAAAATAGGTATAAAATTGATGTTGAGCCCTGGCTTATTATAGTTAGAAATAATATTCATCCATGGATATATGGAAACAAAAACTCACTAAAAGATACATTTTGTTTTTGTTTTCCTGAGACAGGGTTTTGCTCTGTTGTCTGGGCTAAACTGTAATAGTGTGATCATAGGTTACTGCAACCTCAAACTCCTGGCCTCCCGAGTGATCTTCCTGCCTCAGCCTCCCGAGTAGCTGGGATTACAGGTTTGCACCGTCACACCCGGCCAATTTTTGTAGGGATGGGTGTCTCACTCAGGCTGGTCTCAAACTCCTGGCCTCAAACAGTCCTCTTGCTTTGACATCCCAGAGTGCTTGCTAGGATTACAGGCATGAGCCACTGTGCCTGGCCAAGAGATCCATTTCTTATCAGTCTTTTTATGTTTAGTTAAGTATCAAATCAAATTTATAAGTTGTTTCGGTTAATTTTGTACTGATATTGGTCACTGAATCTATAAGTTACCATTTTAACACTTAGAGATTTAAGACTACAGGAAAAACAAATTTAGTATATACACGTGTGTGTATGTGTTTGGGTGGAGGCCAGAGAAGTATGATAGGGTAATAAAAAAAAGATATCAAGCACAAAAATAGGATAAAGTTATATCAAGTAGAATGTAAATAAAAGAAGAAAAGGAACAGTAAAATTTTCATCGGTTAAGAGTCAGTTCACAAATTTTTATATGGATAATGATGGTATCAAAACCACTCTGATATTTAGATTCTACAGAGTACATTTAAAAAAATGATTTGTATTTTAAGAATGTCAGTTTTTACAGTATGCTGGAAATTGCTTCCTTGAACATATGATGAACATTTTGATGTTGACTTAAAATATATTGGAGGGTACATAGTTTTTTTCAAAATGATATCAGTGATGTACTAGTAAAATATTTACAAGTCACTGACCTTGTGGGTCCCAGTTCTGATGGCTACTATGTACTTGCACTTCTGGCCTTGAAGACCAGTAAATGGAGCAGCTTCAGACTAATCCTGAATCTTTGGAGGAGTCCTAGAGTACCTCCTGGCCACTGTCTTCTTGAGTCTTCTAATAGATACACCTTCTTCTGCCTGCTGGGCTATTTGCCCATCTATCACTGCTTTGGACTCAGTAGCCACTGCCCTTTCAGCAGCCCACCCAGTGCAGGCACAGGAGGGTGGTGTGTGTGTTGTGGGGAGGGGCATGGAGGGCAGTGGCCTGTATGTACAGAGAGAGCTGTGAGACACAGCTTTGCTTTCTCAGGGCTAGGGAGCACCAGCCTGAGCAGCCTTAGCAGTGCCTTCAGTGAGTTGGTCTGTTGCCGCTGGTTCTATGGGCAGGGTAAGGCAAGCTGTTCCCATCCTTAGAGGCAATAGGTCTGCTTCAGGGAGGTCAGGGTCACTTGTACTGGGAGAGTTGTGGGGTGGAAATTCTCTGCCCCTTCCCCTGGCATACTGCTAGAGTCTCACACTTTGGGAATCACTCCTGTTAGGCTTTAAAGCCAGCCTGGGACACAGGCTTGGTGATGCCTGTAATTCTAGCACTTTTTGTTGGTCCATGTAATCTTCTGCCATGTGCCACACCAGACTACTAACTTCCCAAATGGACTGTTCTTCCTCATACTCATTCACCTGTACATGTGCTATTGGCTTTACCCAAGAACTAACTTTCTCATTTCTTCCTGTGGGTACTTTTGACTCATTCTTCAAGATTTAACATGTTTATACAAAAATCAATAGTGTTCCTAAACTAATAATCCTCTTCAACAATATGCTGAAAAGGAAATAGGCAGGATTAATGACCTTTGCTAAGGGATAGGAAAGAAAATGTGAATAGATGGAGAAACAAACATTGTAGTCAGGGTTGGAAAGACTGAATACAATAAAGATATTAATTCTTTCCAAGTTTAATGCTTTTATTAATAATATCCTAGTCAAGGTTACCATATCTATTTAGATACACAAATATTTTATAAATTATTTTTAACTGAATTTTAATTCTAAAGTTCATCTGAAAGTATAAACATTCAAGAATAAAGCTTTGAAAATTCCGAAGGAAAAAAGAAGAATGAATAGAGATTTACCCTGTCTGATATTAACCAATTGAAAGTGTCCTGTCTTTTGTTAGCTAAGGGGTGGGCACAAGCCACTCCAATGTATCTAATTCACGTATGTTTCCGACCAATTCTCTGTTACTCATAACTCACAACACGGTAGATTTTCAACCAGTTTGTAGGGTAAGATTGGGATGAATTGCCATAGGATTTACAACACTGGCATTTGAAATTTTCACCTGGGGGCCACTTTAAAGCAATGGTCCCCAAAGTGTGGTCCTGGGGATCAGCATCATTAGCATCACCTGAAAACCTGAGAAAAATGCAAATTTCAGGTCCCACCTTAGATCTGCTGAATCAGAAACTGTGGGTAGAGCTCAACAGTCTTTTTTACAGACTCTTGACACACACTTAAGTTTTCAGACTTCTTTCTGAAAAAGAGGTTATCATCCTCCAAAATAGCTGAAATGGAGACGCCAGGCTCCTGTGACATACCATTCATATAGTAAGAGACAGTGAAAGGAGAGAATAGTTGCACATATTAGCCCTAAATTGGAATTCACATGGCACACTTCCAGTCACAAGTGTTACATTTCAATCCAGCCATTTCTCACTGAGGCAACTCCAGGTTGAGTAGCAGCTGGAATTTATTTAATTGACCATGGTTAATGAGGCTCCCAAATAACTCAGCTAGAAAGGTCAGCTAGTAAATAAATTAAATATTTCCTGCTGTATCATCTGTCAGTTGATGTGAACTTGTGATTGTCAAGAGATCTAACTGTTGGGCCAAATACAAATTTAGGAAGGTAAAGCTGCTGGGGGGAAAGCCGGCACCATCAATCCCTAAGTGGTTTTTAAATCATCCTTCCTTTTGTATCATCTGAGCCACTCATCGCCTCATTAACTCCATAACTGTAGAGCTCACTGTAGTTAGCTTCCTATGCCTTTTGTCTTCATCAGAGAAAAACACTCATTCCCTCTAACACCCTTTTATGATGGCACTTTTCCCTCCAATATTAATAATCTCTGGTTTTAAATTTTGTCTCTAAGAAAAACAGTTCCTTGTACAAAGAGTGATGGACAAAAATCCATTTTGACAGATTTAGAGTAAGGTCAGGCCATGTTTTTTTTGGCGAGATACTCTGCAGGGATGGGCTAGGCTGAGCCTAGTCTGGGCCATACCTCTCTGATGCAGAATTTATGATCAACCTTAATTTTAAAAAAGCCATGGTGAACAAAATGTCAATTTTTAAAATAGAGACAGGATCATAACAGTGCTGGATTGAGCCATATCAGAGCCTCATGGGGCAAAAGGAAAAGTCAGGAATACTGATCCTGTTCCTGAAAAATCACATGTAAGTGAAATGCAAAACTAGGACCACATTTATCTGATTAACCATATAAAATTGTATTGGTGTATATAATATTGATATTCCTTTATTTTCTTTTTCTATTCCTAGGGATGTACTGACATCTCCATCATGGTGGCAATATGCTGTCCTGTTTAACCGCTTCAATTATCCTTTTAAACTGGAAAAGGATTTACATTTGAAGGGCTATCACACACTCTTTCCAGGATCTATACCCTACTATCCTAAATCAATGAAGTGTTACCTTAGCAGAACCCCGGACCGACTGCCTTCAGAAAGACACCAAATTGGAAACCTGAAAACATACTATCTTCTAAATGCTGCTTCTCTTCTCCCAGTACTGGCTCTGGAATTAAGGGATGGGGAGAAGGTTCTGGATCTGTGTGCTGCTCCTGGAGGCAAATCGATAGCTCTGCTGCAGTGTGCTTGTCCAGGTAGTGTGCTTTTCTTTCAGTATTTGACAAATTTTTAATAGCCATATGTGGGGAAAAACGTAAGATTAAGTTTGCAGAGTATATGGAGAGAAACATAAGATTACATTTGCAAACTTAGGAAGCCTGAAAACCAGGCCACTATGGAGAAGAATGGAAATTTTAGCTGAGGAAATTAGTGTAAATAATATCTTTTTCCAGCTACTTAATCCTAGCACTTGACTGGGGACAAAACTACAACATTTTGTGAATACAAATCTGCCAGATATTTTGAATGCTAATAAGCCAATGACAGAGGTTTTTAAAATGTTATTGTTTACTTTTATGCTTAAGAGTCTTGAATTGATATTCCTGTCATACTTCTCTGCAACAAAAACATGTACATTTAAAATTGGTTTTTTATATCATTAGACTACAAGGTTCTAAGGTGAAGTATGTACATAATTTTATATTTTTGAGTAGTCCCATTAAAAAAATAGAAACAGATGAAATTAATTGGAATAATACTTTGTAACCTGATACAGTGAAAAGACTATTCCAACATGTAATAAAAATTAAAAATTTTAATGAGGTATTCTACATCCTCATTTTCTTACAAGTCTTCAAAATTGGTTATTTTATACCTAACACACGTTTCTATTTGGACTAGCCATGTGATAAGTTCTCATAGCCACATGTGGCAAGAGGGTATAGTATTAGACAACGAAATAAGGTCTTTTGAAGTGACTTTATTATTATCACTATTAGTAAAAAAGTGATATATGTTTTTATAAATATTTATTAAAAGTAAAAATATTCACTGTGAATTTTTTTCTTAATGAGATGGATGGGACTATTTTTAAAAAAACTAATTCAGATTTCCTTGGATTAATATTACTTATTGCTAAATGAGACAGCATTTAGCATCAGTTGTATCTGGATTTTATGTGGTAGTTTTATTTTTTATGTATGTATGTATTTATTTATTGGTACAAATGCTGTTATTTACATAGATAAGAAGATGGAAGTGGTGGGAATTGTGTTACAGTGGTTTTACTGGTTGTTTAAAGTCCTTCTAATTTATAGCCCCAAATCACATACAGATCTTCATCAAACATTGTTTTAATGATCTATTAGGCAAGCACTCCTTCAGTACACTTTTGATTTTTGGTGAAAGCAAACAATTTGAACCATGTAAATTACAAAAGGCAGTGTTGTCTTATTAGACTCATTCACTCTCTCAACCAAGATGCCAATGTGTTGAACTGCCCTTATTTGATGTTCTGGGTGTTTCTACACCTTGACACATTTTGCCATAATGAGATTCTGGATGGGTGGGAAGCTTGCTTTTCATTTGTAAAATTGGTGAAGAGCCATGTGAAAGGAGGTGCCCCAGTGGAGGTGTTCTTCTTTAGGATTTGATTCTTTTGAAACTATCCAAGCCTGCATGTCTCTTAGAAAGTTGTTATATATCCCCAAAGCATGCATATCCCAGATTGAAGACTGCTAATTTATATATATTTTTTGAAAGCATTCAGTGTTGAAATAGATTAAAAAAAATTTTAATGAGAAATGTGAATCCAAGTTATAGTAGGCATTGGTACAAATATATCAGTTAACTGTATGTTTAGGAGAAAATATACTGTATGTTTTAGAATTCTGGTTTAAACCCTGTTATTAAAGTTTGTTGATCACAAAACAAAGGAGGTTATTTCATAAGATTACCTTATTATTTTTATCATTTGAGCTGAAGTTTTATGGAGTTGTGTGTTATAAAGGAGTATTTGTTTTTACTTCTACTCTTTTAATGTTCTTTGACAGTATTCTTATATTGGCTGTTAACAGGCTTATAGTTCTTAATTCCGAGTATGAAATTTTTAGTATTATAAAAGATGGAAGAGAAATGTCAAATTTGGTTACCATTTTGAAGAGAGGGCATTTTAATCCTAAATTATCCTCATTAATAGGCTATAAATATTTTATACATTTATAGAAGCAAAGTTGATTTGATTAGGAACCCAAAGGCAAATTGATATATTCTGGGAGTTTCAAATGGTGAAGAATTTTCCTGTTCTTATATCAAGGGCAGTGAACTACAGGCAGTGTTCCAAGTAAAGTAGCTTTCCATCTAAGTAGGACTAATGATAATGAGTTACTAAGAAGTACAGATGTCTTCATGCTGATGCTTAAAGCCCAAATTAGGTTAGCTACAGTGTTTGAATTTGGAATGTAGAAGCAATGCTAATCAAAGCTTTTATAAGCAAAACTTAAAATGATGGCTGCACTAAATGTGCATTTGTACACCAAATTTCTTTAGATCAGTACTGTTCTTTATTTGGGGCCAAGAGGCTCACAGCTTTGAATGATTAAAAAGTTCATGCTTTAGAACCATTTAAAAAAATTAGTCTACTTTTCTTTTGATCTAGCTGTTCTCACCTGTTAGCACAGCAAAGGACAGACCATGTTTTTTGTCAGCATAGCCTTTGTAATGTCCTGGTCTTGACAGAAAAGAGCAAATAATTCTATTTCTAAATAGAAAAACATTAACATGTTAACTAAGGGTGACCCAGCTTCACGGAGTGGCTTAGTCAACTTTCTTACTGTGTCCCTCCAGGCATGAAAATCTCTTTGATGTCAGTGTTAACATTTGACACCTGGTTAGCCTGTGGTGGTTGGGAAGATGAGGAAGCCATTTTTCTTTGTTGAGTTGCTTTTGTCTTCTTTCCTGCTCCTTCATATCTGTAGTCCTTTTTGCACACTCTTCAGGTACCTCTTTACTCCTTCTCTTCTCCTGCTAACTCCTTTCCATCCTTTAGGTTATACCTTAGGAATCAACTTTCCCGGAAAGCTTTACCTGAACTCCTTGCATTAGGTGTATCTTCTTTGTGGTAATAATAAAAATTATAACCATTTTGGAACACTTTGTGTGTACTAATGACTGTGTTAATTACAGTTCATAAATCTGTGCTTTTCACACATTTTTAGTAGTCTCTGCTTCTAACATCTTATGTTTTATTTCCATGTATGATTCTTCCTGAAGTCCTAGGGCTCTGAGGAACACTGTGTCTATCACTGGTGACCATTATCTCATTTAACTCTGCAGCACTGTGAGTTCAGTATTATTATTCCCATGTTAAAGATAAAACTGAGACATAAAGAAATTAGCTAAACTGTCTAAGGAAGGTAGCAGAATTGGGGTCAGAATCCAAGTTTTACTGTTGTACTGTTATTATTGAAAGTTAAGTCCTCATTCCTGAGGTCACATCATAAGTTTGGTACTTATCCCCAATGCTGCATCAGAAGAATGAGGACAAGTGGTTTGAGGAGAAGGAAAAAAAGATTTATTAATTTGCTGACAAATGAGGAGAATGGCAGACTCCTGTCTTAAAGTATCAATTTTCCTAACTATAAGCAGAAATATGGAGCTTTTAAAGGGAGGGTTTTCAGCTTCAGGCTATTGCTGTTTAACTATAGTTGATAATGCTGATCCATCCCATCTCCTGGGAAAACAATCTCCTGACCTCTACCACAGAGTTCTGTTGAGCCATCTCTTGTGGTACAAAGAGCAAAGGATTTCCCCTGCCTCTCCTGATTACTGGCCTGAGGCAGAGATGCAGGTTTTAATTCCCAAAAAGAGTGGAGGAAGTTTTAAAGAGACAGCTTATAAAACATTTTTACCCTTTTTCAGGGTGTTCCCTCTGTTACACTGTTGACTCTATTCCAAGGTCTCCCAGTGATACTCACCTGTTGACTGGTCTAGTTGCTTCTGTTAGACAATTCTGTTAGTCTTCTTGAGCATAGAGCAGGTTCTTACTTATCTTTGTGTCTGCTTCAACTCGCACTATGTCTAGGCCATAATAAATACCTTAATAAACTAGAACCTTAAAGTGGTTGTATTCTCAAGTGCATTTTAATCTAATGTCAGCTAAATTAAAAAAATTCATTATTGCCGTTTTGTAAATTTGTAACATTGTTTACATGTAGTTCAAAGAGTCTTACCATTAGCCTTCTTAGCACTTTTAGGATACAGGACAATATCATTATCCTAGTTTTGACATTGAAAGGAACTTATTGTTAATTGAAAAAACTCAAACCCTGTAAAATAACTTAAAGAGATTTGTTCTGAGCCAACATGTGTGACTGTGGCTTAGGGAACCATACCCAAGAAATCGTGAGCAAGTGGTCCTAAGGCAGTTGGGTTACAGTTTGGTTTTATACATTTTAGAGAGACAGGAATTGTCCGTAAAGTTATAAATCAGCACATTGGTTTGGCCTGAAAAGGTGAGACATCTTGAAGGTGGGTGGGGGGTATTACAGGTTATAAATGGGTTCAAAGATTCTTTGATTTGTAATTGCTTAAAGAAATAAAGCTTTGTCTAAAGGCTTGGAATGTTATAGGTTAAGATAAGGAAGTCTGTTAATCAGAGACAAGCCCCAATATAAGTGATCTGTTAAGCAAATTGATGACCTGCATGTGTTATAACCTTTCTCCTGCATGCCCTTAAGTCCTGTTATTAATTTTATATCTTATTGTCACAAAGAGTCTGATTTATCAATTTTATGATCTCTGTTTTAAAATTAATACTGGTCAATTGTTGTATCTAAACTCCTATTGGAAGGAGGTATAATAAAGCATGCCAGACCTTCCTCTATTCATGGCCAGGAACTCAGTTTTAAGGTTTTGTTGGGAGTCTTTTGGCTGAAAGGAAGTTTATTCAGCTGGTGGGGGCGCAGGGGGCACTTAAGATTTTATTTTAGTTCACAGTAGAAAACAGTTATAATTATAGCTTATGGCTCAGAAGAAATAAGGTAAAAGTATTTTTTTCCAAGTTAGGTATACTGAAATAAATGAATAAATGAAACTACCAGTTTCATTTCCTTTCCTTGGACCAACGGCTGCCATGTGCAGATACTAAAGCCTCAGTGACTTTTTTAGGAATTTATTAAATTCACCCACTTTCCTATTTAGATGGAAAAATATCAACTTGATTTATTTTTAACAATTTAAGCACGAAATTAATTAT